AGGGGGGAGTAGAAATACTCCTAGTTGCTTCATGCTTCAGAAACCGGGATAAGCTCCGGCCTGATGGGCCACATGGCTCGTATGCAGACTTTACCTCACCTTACAGTTAAATTATGATAAATACTTAAACCCAAGAGTGCGACTTTGAGATTGCAAAATTTACATTACAAGAAAATACATAATACAGTTGTGAATAAATACAGCTGTATATTCAAGGACCAAATGGTTTGAAACCTAAGTTCATTTATTTTACTGGTAATCAACTCATATATCTTCTTCATAGAAATTAAGAACCTACTTAGCTTAAATTGCCAATAACTAACCCAAAATACAAGAACCTATTTTGCTAGATTTCAAAAAATGTAAGTTCTTACAAGCGGGTTTTTACTGTATTCCATTTGCATCAAAATGTTTCTTTACAACTTTGTTAAAACGAAAAAAACGTCGCCATTTCGTGGACGACCTCCGACCACTGCACGCCAATGGCTGATAGTATACGAGCAGCTCAGCCAATCAGATTGTAATGAGGCCTTCGGCCTCATTGCAATCTGAATTCAGTTAGAATTTTACTAAAACAATTATATTATGAGCTCGAAATTTCTATGAGGTGATAGTTGATTCAGCCTAAGGCCGAAGGCTAAATCAACTATCACCTCATAGAAATCTCGAGCTCATAATCTAATTGTTAAATAGAAACACTCGTGAAAGTTTGGGAGAACTCGAAAAAGCTGTGCAAACATTCGCCTGCGGCTCATGTTCCCCGACATAGCATTTCTCGTTCTCCCAAACTTCCAGTCGTGTTTCTGTAACTCGATAGAAACACAGTGCATGTTTCCTATTTCTTAAATACTATCAGCTTATAAATACATGCACAGTGCCATAATAATGTGTTAAATTATGCTAATAAAATACGAGCTTAATTAGAGTACTTTAAAGCGTGGTATGAGAGCAACCTTCACTACTGCTGTCAAAGTCTTCGCCAACAACTTTAAGTTCGCTCATTATTTCACGTTAACACTTTCACCTGTTTTACAAACATAAAAATCAGTCTGCTATAACATCAGTTAAAATACAAAAACTTTGTTTAAAAAATACAAATAGACTAAAACTCTGGTGAAAAAAGGATTATACTAAATTAAACTTCGTTTAAAAAAATAGAAATCCACTGAAAAATCTACGAAAACACTGTTAAGGCATACGTATCTCAGTATCTCAGTTTTAAATTAAAAGTCGTCGAAATTAGTAATTTCATATTTATCCATCCTAAGAGGTAAAATGAAGATTATAAAGCACCGCACTGTCATGGATTTAAGGATTACTAGCTAGCCTACCTTTCACACGAATTG